TTCCACGAATAAAATTCCTCTGGAGACAATTGTTTTCTGGAAATGGTATGATCCTTACAACTGCTGTCCTCATCAAGGAATTCGACTCTCTAAACCTTTGTATTATCTTAAACAATTTTTCTCCTCACACAGCACTGTTCTACATAGAATATTACCCTTGACACAGGCTTATTCTTTAAATAGTTGCTGTAAGGCCGAATTTTACAGTTAATACAAATATACCGCAGGCATCTCTTAGTCTTCATATATGTGTAAGGCTTAGGGATTTGAACGCCTCCAAGAATATCGCTGCATCCACTCTATTATCCCTTACTAAATATCTCTTTTTAAATTATGGTGCCTCCTGCTTTAAATCTTGACGACTCCACAATAGGGACTTCCTGGATCTTCCTACCGTTTATGCCTTGCTACTCTAGAGAGATATCTCCTTCTCACATACTTAATAATGGTGGCGAAAAATTTGTTCCTTATATATTAGTCTTCCAAGGAAGTGTATATCCTCCGCTTCATTTTATTCTTCAAATAATAGCCTCCGTTGGCCTAACTTTTCCATATAAATGTATTCCAGTCATAGTCATATAACCCGCACGATTATTTTCCTGATATCATGGTTCCCCATCGAGATCTGTTATATTCAGCCAATAATAGTCTCCAAATAAAAAAACTGTAAAATATAAACCTCCTGAAGAAGAATATTCAGGAGACATGTATACAGTACACAAAATAATACTGGAGGTATAGACGCATGGTTCATATAATAGGGCTGTATGCTAAGCGTACCTTCCACAGACCCGTAGTCCTGGGGGGAGTGATATTTTTTAAATAATACTACACATAAATCATTATTCCTCAATTAATCACGTTCTCCAATTAGTCGTATCTAAAACGCTATGTTAGGAGGCCTTCACATAAAAGCATTCCTGCGACACTGTACATTACAAACAACATTTCCGCTAGAATCCTTGCATTGTCCATATGCAAGTATTTCTGTTTCTATTGTATTACTCCGGCAATAATACATTCGACACAGCTACAGCGCTTGCACCTGCGCGTAATCAATGTCCTGCTGTTTTTTTTAGAATGTAGGCCTCAATTCTTCACATAATACTATTTCATAGAGATCTATACTCATCAATGACTGTTGTCTCCCAAAGAATAGGAACCGAAATTTGGAACACATAGCCGGGAATTCACACACTTTTGCATTTTCGATGGGCATATTGTAGGAAAATCCCTATCTTTCAAAGGACGGTTCCTGAGAATATCCGTATCCCTCATACAATACTGTATTCTCAATATCATTGGACTCCACAGGATGCCACTCCTCATTTTCCCTGCTCTTTACATATCATATGAGTGCAGGCACAATAATTTGTTTCAAATGAATGTGTTACAAGCTCCCTGTTAGTTGTAAAATATTTTCCCTTCCCTAGAATAACAGCATAATCGGTAAACCTATACAATAATATTCCTGATACAGCTGTATTCTTTACCAGCATTGACACTTTAGACACATTTGTCCAGTCTCTATGATCTTACCGTTTATATAATAATACACCACATATATCTGTTCACTTCATACAATGGGGTCATCCATGCAATATCATTGTAGGCATGGACGACGGATAATGATAACGATACGGCATGCATGTTCATACACTTTAAATCATAGTACTCCTTGTACAGTACTATTCACTTTACAATGTTATGCTTAATATATTGATACTCCGCAAACATCCCCACTATTCACATAATAGTACTCTGGTAATATCTCGCCTGGGACCGAATAAGTAATTTGCACACAATACTATTCCATACATATGTGTACACTTCCTGCAACGATACTCTCCCAATCATACGGGTTCACATATTACACTGCTTTTAATATAATAACACTCGAGGGGGTTGTAAGAATCTTGAACTATAGTGCTCTTCCTATAATAGAAGCCTAAACCGTATGTCATGAAGTCCCCAACTTCCTCAGTAATTGCACTCTGGGGATATTCACAGTCTTAGCACAAGTGTGCATTCCATCACACACCACAAAGGAAATATGAGTGCGCTCACAAGACTGCGCCGCGGAGCATCCGTACGTTTTATACAATTATGCCCCTAAATGGACAGTACTTTGCACATATAAGTATAGATCAACCATTAATATCCACATATAACAGTACTACGAGAATTTCCTCATTCGTCATCATGGGAAATGGGGACACATGTATACTTCCTTCTCATCTGCTCTTGTAGAACATGCATTCACTTCATAGAATATTACCCTACGAATAATGACACACCTCGAATATCAGTATTCTTGACACAATAATACGGTTAACATTATAGTACCCCTGGCATAACTCTACTGTTTAGACAATATGATTCGAGGCCACCTGTGGGATCTGCAGAATCGCCCAAGTTATATCATCCAGCCATTAAACCAACATGGGCACCCCTCAAATATTGCTATTCCAAGGACAGCTTTACTTATCAGGACAAACTACTCTATACATAACATTAGTGCTTTTGAACTAACAATGCAATTCACACATTCATGCGTCCCACAGAAGTGTACCCTCCATACGGAGGTACTACGGAAACTTTCACACGTTGTGTAACGGTTGACCCTCCTCATACCATATAAAGCTAAGTCATGAATTTTGCACCCCCCCTTACTTTACTTAATAATACGAGATTAACTTCGCCACTCATCAAATGTCGTTGTAACAGCCATATCAGCCATCTTTCGCTATGAGTACTATTCATACATCTTTAGTGTCCCCATAACAGTACTCCAAGTCATCAATACTCCTTCAGCAAATATCCTGTTCAAATGGAAGTATTATCCACACGACGGGGCTGTAAACGCAACGATACTCCTCTTACACCAGTATCCTCCCAAAGAATCGTGCTCCAAGGGTAATCTTACTCATAAAGGGAAAACACTTGACATATCATGCTTTTGTCTGTATAATAGCACTCCACGTGATCCATATAGATCCACTACTTCTACCTTTATAGAACAGTGGTATGAGGACTTCTACACCCGTCACCATTGAGAAAGTACAGACAATGTTACTCCCTAAACAATAGTTATACTGGAATATCCATGGACTTCACAGAATAGGGCCGTCCAGGTAATGAAAGCATAAACCCTGAATTCTTCACATACACTAGCACATGCACCACTATACTCGTCACATAATAGTAGTACACTTATATCCGCGCACATTACTGGGAATGGAAATCCACACCAGTATTGTACAGATAATGTTATCCAGGGCGTCTCTTCATTCCTGAAATACCAATGCAATAACGGTGTGACTATCTTCCATATATGAGTACTACAAACACCTGGGTACGTTTCATATACAGTAACACTGAATGATATCCTTACCCTTTACTTAGATGTGCTCCTCAAATAAGGGCACTGCAGGTGCAATGGAACCCTTCAGATAACAATCCCCCAGGATATCCCTACATTTCACATAGTACTGCATTAAAAATGCTGGTGGAGTTCACAGAATGGCACTCTTCATCTATTGGCGCCATCCACACTGAATCACGACAGGTATATTGTTGCTGCTCAAATAAGTGTGTCCTTGGGGGTCTGCAGGGCTCAAAGGATTTAGTCCTTACAATAGTAGTATAATCCATGAACGCGCATATAATACTACTGTTGGTACAGCTCTATACTTCACATGCCTGGAGCCTCTCGACATGTTCCAACAATTTACCCAGTTGTGTTCCTTGTATAAGACTTAGCACGTATATTGGTGAACTCCATCTAATGGTATGATCCATATAATAGTATTTTTCAGGCACACACAATTGTAGATATTATGGTACCTCCAGAATGTTAGTACTATTTAAATCATACTACTCCGGGCATGGTAGTACTCATCCCGACAATGCTATTCCTGCTATATCAATGCTTCGCACGCAGATGCATTATTCACATAATAGTACTCTGGGAATATCAACACTTGAAGTTAAAAAGTTATTCTGACAAAGGCGTAATTTAATGACATCGGTACATTTGTTATAGCGATGCTGTTAAAGTCATGGAGTTTCACGCATTGTACCACTCTTAATATAATAATACTTCAAGGACTGCTACAGGTTCGAGACAGTAGTGTTCTTCGTATAATACCAGGCGAAATCCTGCTCCTCGATTTTCAGACCCTTCAAATAATTGTGCTTCTGGCACATCCATAATGTCTATCATTGGGCTTTTTAAAGGACAGTACTACGTACATAGGAGTATACTCACAAATTATTGTTCTAGATTATGCATACTCTTTACGGAGATATTATATTCAAATAATAATGTACAAGAAATATTACCACACCTCAACCATTAGTACATTTACATAACGGTACTACGGCAACTTCCGTAATCAACACCCATGAAAATCCATACCCATCCGTTCTATGCACGCAATAGTTCTTCTGGTATATCCATAGAGTCGACGTCCTATTGCTCTCTAAATGACACTCGTGGAATATCAATATTTCACACAAAGAAGTATGGTTCATATCATAGTACTCCTGGCACCATAGTATTATCGAAACACTGGTCTTGCTAACACTTCTTAGGGGTTGTACAATCTGCTACTTCATATAATTGGACCATTAAACTTAAATAAACACCCTTTACATAATGGCACCTCAAAGACAGGAATGCTCATCTAGACACAGCATTCCATACATAACCATAATAATCTTCAAAAGATGGAGCATTGAACAGGTCTATGCAGTTTACACCATAGTACGCTTCATATAAAACTATTACGGAAACGTTCGTACCCTCTATGGTGTAACTCTCTGCATATGATAAAACATTATGCCATATATCTTATCGACTTTAACATACATTACTTCACAGTATGGTTGTAAGTTTCTGACGCTTCGAATAGTAACCTACCAGGCATCTTAACACTCTGCACATATGAGTACGGCATATACCTATATACTCTTCACAGAATGATACTTCGAGTCATCGATACTTCCCATACAACTGTGCATTTCAAATGAAAGTATAATCCAAACAAGAGTATTGTTAACATAACGGTATTACCTGTACACGATTACTCTCCAAAGAATAGTACCATAGATATAGTCCCACTAATGAAGCTACATAAAGGCAGAGATGATGCTATCAGTAGCACAATTTCACTCCTGGAACCTCGATACGTGAGGAAAAAATGTACTCTTAACATCATCATACTCCCGGAGTAGCAATACTCTTTAAGTAATAGTATTACATATGGGCCCTGGGAGCTCCGCAATCCCGCACGTGTTCCAATGAAGTCATTAGACCCACATCAGGACATTTGACATCCTGAGAATCCAAGGATAAGTTTACTCCTCGGTGTACCCCGTTCCCCATATAAAGGTAGTCCTCTCCAATTAACAGTGCACTTCACACATGAACACCCTTGACGCAGAGGTATGCTTCAGATACAAATAGTACTGGAGCCTGTGCACCTTTCATTCCATCTGTCGGTGGATAGTAGAAGGTTACGCTACATACATCCTATCACCCGAATACATCACTTAATACGACTGTCTCGACTTCCCCACCATCCATATAGCAGTGTACCAAGCATGTCACGTATCTCCAGATATGAGTACTATACATACGTTTGTAGTTGTCTCACATTTCCACTGCAAATCATGAATATTCACTAAGAGACAGTGCTATTCGAATAGAGGCTTTATCAACACAACAATATCATTAACATCACCGTACTCCTCGAAGAGACATACTTTTCCATAACAGACTAATTCCAATATAATAATATTCATTATGGGACATCCCACAGCACATAATCGTGGCCTCTAGTATGATAACACTAGAGGTGATGAACATAGCTGAACTAATACGAAGTTTACATAACAATACAATGGCAATTTTGGGATTCCTCACCATTGAGAATCCAGACACGTCAATACTGTTTAGGCAAAAATTCTGGAATATCCATGCACTTCACATAACAGTATTACACCTACATCCGGGCGTTGCATTAGCGTTAGAAA